GGGTGGGTGGGTGGTTGTTTTCCTGGCATCTTCTATCCTTATTTCATTTAACCATAGTGAAATATCTTCAACCCCAGAATACATTTTGATGCAGTGATGAGAATACTGCCATGGGTAATGTGGGTTCTCGTCTCTTCCCACTGAGGAAATAATTTAGATCTTAACATTTCTCAGGTCACGGGTACTATTGGCCATGGGTTAGTCCCACAAAATTGTATGTTGAATATGGCATAGAGAATTCCAGTTTTATCTTAGAGGCCTAAATTTGATACTGGGAATGCTCAATAAGAATCTGCCACATAAGTCCATTAGGGAATTTGGACCAATGAAAGAACAGGCTTTAAACCATCTGGTTCATAGCACCTTGCTGGTTCTCAGGATTGTATCTTGAGACCTAGAAAGTGTACTTTTTTAACTCGCTATCTTTGGAATAAAATGACATTAAAATGACAGTTTTTAAAATGGTTTTGGCCTTCCCAATTAGACAAGTCTTGAAAGTAAGCAGCCAAGAGCTTTGAAAATGGACGTCAGGAAAGGAGAACTCAAAGTTATTATTTGTTTAAGATCTCATGGGTTTTGACCCAATGCCATTAATTTTGTGAGGCTGATAGTTGTTTTTGAATGTTTGGGGGTTTGAATGATGCTTCTTTTATAGAAGTACTGTGTTGCCTTTGAGAAAGCGCTGGCCCCTCCTACTGACTTAATAGCGTCTATTCAGTTGAATATGAAATGTAATCGTGGAACAAATAAAAGCAGTAGTAATTTTGAATTCAGGTTATAATAGTTGCTATGATTTGTGTGACAAAAAGGTTAGTTTTTTATAGTGTTGGTGTCTGTGCTGGGAAGTGATTCTACATTTTTCCTCCTTATCTGTACTATTAGGAATGTGGCAGAGTGAAAATTATCCTTAAAGAAAGTGCAAGTTCAGCAGGATTCCAGTCTGCCTTGCAAGCTTTATAAAAGTCTTAGGCTCAAATGAACCTTTTTTGATGGGGAATAATGCAAGCCTCTGAGGACTTGCTGGAATGTTCTGTGGCAATTAGATCTGTAATATTATAGTTCAAGTTTCTGGCCTTACATGGCTCTAGAGACTCTGGAAGTATATATAGTTCATTTTTCAAAATGCTTTTAGGCCTTTTTTTTTCTCCCCTCTAATTTTGCATCATCTAATAATTACATTCAGGAATATCATTTGTGATCTGAACTGTGATAGTTTGATTCCACCACCCTTTGCCATCAGACTATCATAGTGAAGATTTGCGTCATCCATGTGCATGACTTGCAAAGTTGGTGCGGATGGAGCTATGTCTCAGCCACTATGCCGGCAGTTTTCCGAATGGACTTAATTGAACAGGGAGTGCCAACAAACAGTAACATGCCCTTCAGGACTCCAATTCCTTGTGGTTATTTGAAATGCATACCAAACAGATGTGTGCTCATGACCCTGAAAAGGTCTTGGGGCCCTTCTAAAAATGTAGCTCTAGACTACAACAGAGCTCAGGAGGAGGACAATTCCCTTTGTTTAACTGTGAAATCAGTAGGTCCTTATCAAAGTCTTCCTTGTTACATTCAACAAAACCTCTTGGATTTTTCCATTAACTGCTTTCAGGGTAGTGATTGTGCCAACATAATGGCAAACTTAAAGGGCAAAATGATGATTGTGTTCACCCTTTTGAGATACATTTATCCCTTTAGCTTCACTGGACAAAACCAGAAGAACATATGTATATTAAAAATTACAAAGACTTTATGGTAATAATTTCTTTTAAAATTATTGAGATTTAAGACATGAGTTCTTAAGCATTCAGAAAGTGTAGTGAGAATTCTTATCTTAGTCAGTTCAATGTAAAAATGACCAAGTCCAGATAACCGTTACTTGCTCATGCATCTCAGAGGCTGTCACGGGACTGTAAAATAGGTGCATTGTCAAGTCTTGGCTACAGATAGAAAATGTCCCCAAGAATCTTACAAACTGATACGAGACAATAGACAAAGTGTAAATAGTATCATGCTTCTACTTCTCATTGTAGCCTAACAGCACAAAAAGGTTATGAAAATATTTGTTAAATAAGTAGAAACTTCTGCTTCTACTGCCTCAAAAAATACATGTATAAAAAAAAAGTGTCAGTGGATTATAATCTAGCACTGGTTATAGACCTTCTCCAAGCAGTAAACTGGACTAGGTGGCCTTCAGATAACCCCACCAACCAACATTTTTATGATTATCTATGATTGAGAGAGTCTGTGAATGGTTCGTGAGACAAAGTCAAAACTCAGGTGTAGGTCACTGCTGAGGAACATGCCTTCCAGAGTGTCCCAGTTATTACCATACCTCCAACTGTACCCTGGCACTGCACCTGTGCTCCCCAGCTCTGGGGTCAAGAGACTGGGACACCCAACTTGATCTGGCATAAAGGATCACACTGGTGAAAGTCCTCATGACATGGCTATAAATGAGTAAAACACAGCTCAACTGCACGTAAATAAACATTTTACCTCCGTGCATGTGAGATTTAATAGTTCTCAGCTATTAAATATGGGAATCTATAAAGATTTTATCATACATAATTTAGACAGTGATGAGTAAACAACTACTGTGTGAAAGTCAATCCTCTGCTGAAGGCCAGGGCAAGTCCCAGATTCCAGCAAGCATTCTTTTCCAAGGTTTGAATAGTTTTGAATAGTACATTAGTGGCTATGGAATGGAGAATTTCAAAATATGCAACAGGCATTCTGGAAAATACACTGACCATAAAAGAATGATAAAGTTGTATGATATCTTAATGTACTTCTTGGGAATGAGGAAATACAGGTTTGCACTGAGGAAAGAGTCTGGAGGAAAACAGTGTAGGGAAGGACTGCAAAATTGTATGAAAGGACTGTAAATAATCTTAGAATAACGTTATACTCAATGGACAATTAAATAGAATGTAATAGATAATAGCTAACACTGTGACAGAGATAAGCAGCTAAATTGGTGTATGCTGTCTTGAGATTCTGGTGTTTAAACAATGATGATTTCACCTCCCAGATACTTTGCTTTTATTTCCTTTGTTATCCAGTGTGTTATTTTTGGTGGGCTCCATTATCTGGGAGCATGAGGTAAGACACAAACTTTCTACACTGTCGAGCTCTTTTCCAGATATCTACTACTACATATTTGATAATAGTGTGTGCTAACTTGGCTTAAGGAGCATGTAGTCACCTATCGCAGTAGGCTGGGTCTGCAACAGTGCTTAGCTGCTGACAGATCTTCTTTCATTAGTTCTTCTTATGAAAGGCAGTCTTAAAATAATCCTATTTATTTCTTACATTCTCTTCTTGAAACCCTCTTTCTCCATCAGTCTTCTTATTTTTTTTTTTTTAATCTAAATTTCACTCATATTTTGTGTAAAATGAGTATCTCTTGCTGCCTTTGTTCCTAATGACATAGAGCAATCTCCCTTTTGGTGACCAGCATTGCTCATCATAACTGCATATTTGAAGCTCAGCTGTGCCATCATGCTGACTACAGCCTGGGGGGTAGGGTAACAACCGAACACTGTGCTAGAGAAGACTAACAGTGGCAATAGTTTATACAGCTGGGGTACTTCTGGCCCACTTCATAGTACTTTTAAGACCATAATTTTCCTAGTTCATTAGAAAACTATATAGCACCTAGGAAAACCAGCAATTTTCTAATTTTAAAAAAGCAGAAATTCCTGAATGTGGCTTTAAAACACACACACTCGTGCAAGTAGCAACCTCCTTTTCCTGAAGTGCACCGTAGACAGCAGCCCATGGCCTGTTCCCACCCTGTTTCAAGTTATTTCATGTGCCATGAAAAAGCATGAAACTATTGTACAGACAGTGCTAAGATACAATACTGTTTGTCCGAATATTTTTAGGTGACCTGTAGTAAGAAAAGCTGCTCTAGTTCCATTTAGCCTGTGACATTTGTACTCTAGCACAGTTGCTTATGTATTTTGTTCCCGTTTCAAGATTTGGCTTTGATGACCTGCAGGTAAATGTTACATAAAGCTAGCATTTAAGGTCTTAAGCCTCACATGGTAACCTGCCTGCCTGAAAATACACACTGAAGCAATTCTCTTTAAGTTTATAATTTTCCTGATGTTTAAGAAAAATTGTCATTAACTGGGTTCTGTAATTATTTCAAAGACAAAGTGTGATTCCCACCTCTGACTTTAGATTCAATAATATCTTTGCAGTTAAAGCAAAGTTTACTATATCAAAGAGACATGATGTGCATTTGCTGAAAGTCACCCATTCCATAAATTTACTTTGGCACTTACTTTGGAAAAAAAGGATTAAATAGGTTATGGAAAGGATACATTATTCTACCACCTTATTAATATTTTTCTGTACAGCCTGGTGGAAAATACCTCTAAACCTTTCTGAAATCATGTTCTGCATGTGACTGCAGCATTTTGACTCCTGCACTGACTATTTCATTCAATAAATATTTTTACTGCCTGGCTCTTGTCATGTCACAGGAGTGTCCTATTTTTCTTTTTTCCCCTAAACTTTTTTTTTTTTTTTTTTTTTTTAGATGGGAGAAGCTCGTGTCTTTTTCACAGGTTTTTGTGGTTTACGTTCTTGCTCAAGAAGTCTTGCACATTTGCTCTTTCCACATCCCATTCCATTAATCTGATTCTTAAACTTGGGAAATTTTTATCAGTTTTATAACCTTACAAAACTTTCTAAAAGCCTACTGTCAGTGATGCTTCCTTTTTTTCCCCCTAGATA